CGTGACAGTTTTTTTTTCTTTAAGGGGGTAACCCCTTTGATCAATTAAATCGATTTTGATTCAGGTGTGTATCTAAAGAGTTAATGCTTTCTTACGAAGGCAAATATTCTACATTTAACAGTTACTCTTTGAAATCGAGGTGAATGGTGGCTAACTATTCCCGAAAGCCACTATTCACCGAGATTGAAAAGAATAATTGTTTTAGTATATACACACGAAGTGATCTCGACAAAATTAAAAGGAAGCCATTTAAAGGCAATTTCTGCTTCTGAAACTTTAGCGAGACGCAAGTTTACGTCCGCCATTTGTTTTTCACATTATCCACTCGCTCGGAGGTGTACATTGTTGATTAGCCCGAGATAGCGAACCAATCAGATTGCTTGAAACGCCAAGATCACTGTGTGTGTATATACTAATTAGTATAATTTCAGAGCTGAGCAAACAGTTTCCAGCAATCTGATTGATGGAGCGGTTCCTTATATGACGCTATATAAACCGCTCCACACGGTTTATATAAAATGTTAAAATAAATGTTACTAAAATGTTATGATTTTAGAAATTTCTCTGTTGTTCAGCTCTGAAATTATACTAAAACAATTATTCGCCTCAGGTTCGGTGAATAATTGTTAAATCTAAAGTAGAGAGCTGCTGGCAAAGAAATATGTGCCCTTTATCAGAGAATACAATACAGAGCTTGCTAAACCATGCTGTTTGGCACTACTTTAGTTTATTTCAGTTAAAACATAGTTAGTAGAGGGGACCCTCTACTAACTATGGTTAAAGCTACAAATGACTCCTTTGATTACAAAAACACTTCGATAGAAGTAAGAATTTGAAATTTGAAAATTACTCAAACTTACAGCGGTGGACTCGCGCACGCACAATCATATTTCAAAAGAAACTCGATTAAAATATTTGCTACCCTGTTTAAAGAGATCGTCTACCTTTCCTTTTATTGTGGATGTTGAACCCACAGATTGACAACAAGTATGGATCATGCATTACATGCAAAATCAAGCGGAAAGAGTGCTGGGTATCACGTATATGGTACAAACACCCCAGGGTTTAATAATTCCGGAGCTAAGGTACCGGGGTGACGTAGAAGTAAATGTGTGATCGAGCATCTGTTCTCTAAAGTAAGGTGTTCTGAGTGTCGCATACCTTTTACCTTTTTTTTCCGGAGGCGGTTTCACGTAAAGGATACCAACATGGAAAATTTAGACTGAAACAAAGCAAAATACGTAACACGCCGGTACACGTGACTAAGCCAAGACTGGAATTTATCTTTGATTCTCATTGGTCGAAAGGATGGTCCCGTTTTGTGGAATGCCACCTTGCATAGCTTGAATTTTTTTCTACATGATAGTTTTTGTGGCCTCTACCTGTTTTTATCTTTGAGTCTTCGCGAAAATTTGCGTTTCATCTTTTCGATATCCACGCGAAGGAATGCAGTAGAGAGACCTTTGGAATATTTCTAATGTTCTTGCCGGAAGGATAAAAACTTTTGTTACCCAAGCACAAGCAAACAATAAGCTAATTTCGCTTTTTCAATAGAGGGAGCAATATTCATAATAACGCAGTCACTGACGAGTTTTTCGGTTTAATTACTTTTACATGCCACTGAATATCCACGAAACTGGAGATTTCCGAAAATTGTACCAAAGTAAAATATTGTAGTGTTGTAAATGAATAACATTTTCACTAAAGAAGATAAAATAGGAAGTTGTGACGACACCGGAAAATGTAAATCTGCTCTTCGCTTTCCGTTTTTTTGTGGTTCGAAACAGGTTAGACTGGCCAACTCTTAATCACAGAAACTTTTATCAAGAGTGGAGTTCAGAGTTAATCATGAAGGCGAAGCTTTGAAAAGTCTAATGGCGGGCGAGAATATTTTGATACCAGCTCTCTTCATTTTGGCATTGTCAAGCAAAAGCTCAGGTAATTTGTTATGAACCAAATACTTTTCTTAATCGATGGTGATTATTTTTTACGCTAAATTAAAGGATATAGGATCGTTGTCGTGTTATCTCTTCAAATCGATGTTTATTTTAGAAGATAGGTCTTCTTTTAAACTATTCTTGGGCAAAGATTCTAATAGTTGGACATTATTTGGACATGAATGACATTAAATCAATAGTTACTAACTCGTTCAAGATGTTTTCATTGTTCGTTATATGTTTTGAAACCGAAATTATTGTAATCTATTTTAAATCTTGTGAAACTTTCATTGCATGTATGAATGAGATTAATTACCATAAATAGCTCGTTTTTGTTCCCCGTTAAATCAAACGAAAATTACATAGAAGAGAACGAAGTGTAATGACCTTCGGAAAAGAGACGCTGGAAAAGTGGGAGACACTTCTTTAGAAGCGTAAAGTGTCGGAGTCCAGAGATGAAATAAAGATAGCTGTTTGCTCAATTTTGAGCTTGAGAAAGTGTAACTTGTCAAAACGGATGTTAAATCTAGAGATTTAGAGCACAATGTACCATGCATCATCAAGAGGTCGTAACAGATATCTCTTGTTATATCACTCATCCTTGCATAGGAATGCTGTTACCTTAGAACTGTATATAATTGTAGAAAAAATATCTATAAAAAAAAAAAAAAAACCATTACAGATCATTTTAGGGCAGAAGACTTGGATTTTAATCCAGCCGAGAGGGTGTAATACATTTACTTATTTTTAAACGAAACATGGCTCGTCTTCAGCGGAAGTAGATACACCTGTAGTAGAGAAAGTGAGAGAAAGTGAGAGAAAGTCAGCAAAATGAGTTTCAAGAAGAGACGTTGACCGGCTCAGTCGCTCATGTCTTGGAAATTGCGGGTGGTTCCGCTTGCTGTAACTGTCAAGAGAAAACCAAGGAAAATGAGAATGTATGTTCCTGAGAATAAAATGTACTAGGACACCAACTCAATTTGAGAGGCAAAGGTTTTTTTCCTCAAAGGAATACTAACTCTGGATTGTTAGTTATTTAACTGTAGAAGACAGCAGTGCCCGCGACAGATTCATTTCACTTTGGAATGGCGTATTTTGACCTCTGAGTCACTTTTTTTTGGGGTCCTAAAATTTCGTAGTTTATAATTAGAAGCCCAAAAATTTTAATGGAGTTATTTGGAGAAGAAGCCTTGTTTTCTTGCGTGATTATATATATTCCCTTAGCTCCGGTTGGAGCATAGGCCATTAACCACTTCCGTCCTCCATCGGGTTCTGTCCTGGGCAAATCTTCCTAAAGTGGCCCAAGTGTGGCCCCAGTTTCTCATTTGGGACTCTACACCTCTTCTCCAGGAGTTCCNGTCTCTACCGATTTAATTCTCCCCAGTTATTGTTATGCCGTCCGCGAAGTTTCAGTTTCCCAGTTTGAGCGCGAAAACCT